ATTTGTCTTTGTGAAAGCTTATCTACCTCTACTATTCTGTGTAAAGGCGTGGAATTCGAATCGTGGAATGAATTGACATCCACACAAGGGTTAGTTTACAAGGCTATTCCCATCTAAGTTTTTGGCAGCCACATACAGGTGGAAAGGGGTGTTTCCTTTGTAATCCTTTTGATTAATGAGCTGAGAAGCCCAAGAATTTTGTAAAACTAACTCCCAAGACTTCTCCTTCTTCGTACTTTATAGCAAGGTGAACGATGTTCTGACTTTTACACGTAATCTGAACCCAACAATATGGGCAATGGGATAAAATCTCTTGCACCACAACTACATGTCCATGAATTACCGCAATACGCAGAGTGGTCTTGTAGTCTTCATTGCGGGGAGCAAAATAGGCCGTGTTATTCTCAAAACACAATAATAATCTTACTGCGTTTTGATAATTAAGTTTAATTAGCAGCATAATGAAGTGCAGTCCAACCAAACTTATCGCCCTTTTTTGTAAGATTAGGCAGCTTATCCAAAATCAGCTTCACAGATTCTGCATGTAGCCATAAGTATTAGAAACTCTGAATTGTTATGCCACAAGACATATCACACCGCAACAACTTAGATAATCTAGTCAAATTGAATATTTTCTTTTCAGGATCAGTGGATAAATCTATACATTTGCAGTATTTTGGTGTCAATCAATTTAATTTTGTACGGATCAGTTTTTTTTGTCAATATTTGTTGTCTTCAGACAATATTAACATATACCTTTTTTGTTTTAAGTTCTCAATATGGTGGTACTTATAAATGCAAGCAATGATTCTCTGCTTAGCTTTTCTTTTGCGCAATTTGATATGGGAAAATGGCATATGTTAAGTGGAATGTGTTGTTGTGCTTTTAATTAATTATGGCTGAGAAAAATAAGGTTAAATGTCAACAGTTATGAAAGCACAGCCCTATTTGGATTGTGATTTTTCATAGAAAAAATTTTACGTTTCCATGAACATTTTTTTTTCAATTACTTTTTTATTTCATATACATCAAATCGCTATAATACATTTTTCTACGAAAATTTCTCAAAATAGCAATTCAAATGGGCTAGTCACTAAAAAACTATCCTATTCCAATATCTATACACATATATAAGAAGCAGTTGGATTTTCCTCTTTGCCGCAGTTTTCGCCTTGCAATTTCATCTGTTTTGTTTGTGAGGAAAATTTGAGAAAAAAACGGGGATCAGTTTCATTTGCTTCGTTAAGTTTCATCTACTTTCTTTTATCGGATTACAGTCAGATGGTTGGAGTGTGTGCAATCCAAGGTTCATTAGCTTTGTTGGTGAGGCAAAATTTAAAATAGAGCCATCTGTCTGTTGCCATGCGGAGGGAAAGATTTCAAATGGAGGCATCTGTCTGTTGCCATGTAGAGGAAAACACCGTTTGTTTCTTTGTTCCAGAAAGCTCATTATCTCCCATCTCTCATATCTCATATAGATATAGATAGATGGTGGTTTTGTGTCATAACCCATTAACATACTGATATCTTTGAAATTGCATTTGTGTCGCTGCATTCTTTTTTTGCCTTCCAACTGGAGTTTTAGTTTTCTGCCGTCTGTCCTTTCTTTGTGTCGAAGAAGGTAATTCCAACTGGAGTTTTAGTTTTCTACCGTCTGTCCTTTCTTTGTGTCGAAGAAAGTAATGACTCTATTTCTCTTCGAGTATATAATGATAGTATTCTTGTTGCATGTTCTATTCATCGCCTTCCATTTTCTTCTTTGCAGCTTTTAAACAATTTCCACCTCTTAAACAACTTCCTCTTTCTTTCTTTTGTTGACTTCTAGCTTCGTTTGCTAACTTGGTCCTTTCCTGCTTCTTATATCTACAACTCCATTGGCTGGTTGCTATCCGTCCAAGTTTGCTCGCCAGTTGCAGGTTCGGTTTTATATGCATGCTTATTTTCGTCATTCTTCTGTTTATTGAATGAATGTCATATTGGTTTTGGATTGCTAGATGTTGCATTTTCATTTATTGCCTATATGACTCTTGCTGTCCAATACAATGAGCTTCTCCAAGTTTGTTGTTGATACTGTTGATTCAATAACTGAAAAAAAGAAACAACGTAATAAAAAATTAAGAGAACAATACGCTGCGCTCTCTCCTAAAGAAAAGGAAATTCGTTTGGCTAAACAAAGAGAGGCATATCAGAAAAGAAAATTAAATAATTTTTTAGCGCTCCCTGCTCCTGAACAACTGAAACGAGCTGAAAAATCGCTTCTCGGGGAGACTTTTCGCCTTCATTGTGACCAAGCAAAAGTTGAAGAAGAACAGAATCGTTTAGCAAAAAAAAAAGGAACTCCGTCGACAGAAGCAGAGAGAGGCTTATCATAGAAAAAAGATGCGCTTATCTTTTGGTGCTGATACATCAGAGCATATTAAAGGAACTATGCATCCTGCTCCTGCTACTGAGTTAAGTGCTACTATGACTACCGACTGCCTGTCGACTCAAGAGGCAGAGATTCCTAAAAAAAATATTAGTTCCACTTCTGCTGCAAACAGCATACTATGTGCTGAAGTATCATCTCCAGAAAGTCTGCACAAAATGGAAAGTGCCACTTTCGCTGCAAACAATATCTTATTTGCTGAAGTGCCATCTACTTCTGGATTAGTCATTCAAGAGCCGGTTAAGAGCAATGCAAAAGGTATATTAACATACAAACGTACGTCTAACTCATCCTTCAAATTCTACAATGTTATCTTTTACTCATTCTCATGTCTACATTATTCACTGTTGATTACTATTTTCAGCCATGGATGTACCCGAGTCAAACAACAATGACAAGTCTAAAAAACATATCACTATTTTCTCTAGCTATGAAAGAGGTATTAATTACTTTTATGTTCCATGGTTTAACCTTTTAGCATTTATTATTACATTTGTATTATGTACTATATGCTTGTGATTTACAATTACGATCCTCCTCGAATACAAAGTCGAATGATAAGTACTGATGCTCTGGAAACTCTGGTTTCCATTGCTCAGGTTTGTTATTCTTCTCTACTGTTTATATTTTTTTTTACGTCATGTACCATTGAATCTATTTACAGCAAATATTAGTCTTTATCTATTTTGAATACACATACATCAGATGAACGCCGACTATGCCCTGGTTGTTACAACTTCCTCTCTCAAAGCCTCCAGGAAGTATCAGGTTGCACATATTTGATTATCTCACCAAGTCTGCTTACAAAATACTATAATTTCCGACATGATTTAATCACTTTCTCTGCGCTTATTCTTAATAGAACAATCAACATCGTTATGTGCGAGGCCTACTGTAACTCCACCGGATAACGGTCGCACATCCAATGCAACTACAAAGCATACTGCTAAACAGACTAAGAGTCGAGGTACTTTACTTTTCTTTTACTTAAAGCTGAGCTTTTGACTCTAAATAGTTTCAATCTTCACCTTCCTTAATCACCTATGCAACTACCTAGCGCCTCATTTCTTTGGATTAAGCTATGTTTTGTTCATATAGCTAAACATTCTACAAGGCATTGTCCGGCCAAACACTCAAGGAAAAAACCTAATGCCTCAAAAGGTTGTGAATTATTTTTCTTCTTTTCTGATTCCACCAAAGAGCAGTACAATTTTCCCCTTTGATATTTTCCAATTACCTGTACCATTGATCAGTATCCTGCTCTATTTCGAACTAGCTAAACATTCAACATAACAACTTGTCATTTTTAATTTATAGGTAATAGAGTCCTACAAGGCATTGATGCGCTTAGTTGCATACCTGACAAGTCATATAAGTTACCTCCAAAAGAAGAATGTCAGTATTGTCATGCACAAAAATTCCATTCTGAAACAGCTAACTTCTGCTGCTCTGATGGTTCTGTTGTTCTCCATGACACCAAATTATCGAGTGTTCTTGTTGAGCTCTTCACTGCTGAGACACAGGAGGCAATTTGTTTTCGTACATATGTTAGAACATATAAAAATATGTTTGCTTTCACCTCCTTTGGTGTTCACTACGACAAAACGCTCTGCAAAAGAAATAATGGAATCTACACTTTCAAGATTCAAGGACAGACTTACCATTTCATTAATCAACTGATTCCTCATCATGGTTCAGGAATGTATCTCCAACTCTACTTCCACGACACAGAGCATGAGCTACAGAATAGAATGGCTATATCAGATAGATTAACTGAAAGTCTTGTGATCAAACTCAAGGAAGTTATGAAGACCAATCCTTATGCTTGCTTTTTCCGTAGTTTACGCAACATACCTCAGCTGGATTCTTACCAAATAGTCTTAAAGTCTCACACTGATAATGATCAACGTGTATTCAACCAGCCAACAGCTTCTCAAATTGCAGTTCTTTGGGTTGAAGGAGAAAATTCAACTAACGTCTACTCCAGACATATACAAATCTATACTAAAGAGGGTCATACTCATCGAATTCAATATTATTATGGATGCTATGATCCTCTCCAGTACCCGGTGTTGTTCCCACTCGGAGAAACTGGTTGGCATCCAGGAATTAAAAGATCAGAAAAAATCAATCCAAAAAAAACAAAGAGAGCAACAAGAAAACAGCAGACTTCAGCAACATTGTCTAATTTCTCTTCTACTCAAGAAATGATTGACAAGGAAGAGGAAGGTCAGACCATTTATATGCATTTCTTATATATACAAAGCTGTATATTGACACCACTTTTGTTATCTCTCTTATATATAAAAAAAATACATATTTACATCAATTTTTCTTAATGCTTATTTTATCTGTAGCTATTCAGGAGTGCAACAACTCAAAGGAATATATATCAATGAGAGAATACTATGGTTACAAAATGCAAATTAGACACCACTGTACGCCTAGCATTCTCAATACTGGACAATTATTTCAACAATTTGTAGTCGAGATGTATGTGAAAATTGAAACCCAGAGATTGGATTTTTACAGAAGCAGGCAACAATTAATATGAAGAGAACAATTACAGGGACTCATGGACAGTATTATTCAAGGACAATCTCGCGGAGCACAGGTTGGCCAAAAAGTTATCCTTCCAGCTTCGTTTATTGGGGGTCCAAGAGATATGAAAAAACGATATGTGGATGCAATGGCTCTTGTACAAAAATTTGACCGACCAGATATATTTATTACAATGACTTGTAACCCTGCTTGGTCAGAAATAAAAGAAACAATGTTACGTACAGATGAAGCTCATAACCGACCAGATCTTCTATCAAGAGTATTCCATGCAAAGGTGAACATTTTAAAGGAAGATTTATTTAAAAAACATATATTTGGAGAGGTCGCAACATATACTTATGTTGTGGAATTCCAGAAACGCGGACTGCCGCACATTCATATGCTTATTATCCTGCAACCGAGATCAAAATTCTATTCCACAGATTCGTATGATCGAATTGTGGCTGTTGAAATACCAGATGAACACGAAAATAAACATCTGTTCAATATGGTTCGAAAACACATGATGCACGGTCCATGTGGAACAAAAAATCCAAAGAATGTCTGTATGCGAGGCTCATTTATGAGAAGATGCAGAAATAGTTATCCAAAGAAATGGGCCAGCAGAACAACTCATGGAAACAACACTTATCCAACTTATAGAAGAAGAAACTATGGCAAGAAAATTATTGTTCGTGGACAAGAGCTGGACAACAGGTGGGTAGTCCCCTACAACCCTTATTTACTTGCAAAATTTAATTGCCACATTAATGTTGAAATATGCTCTACTGTTAAAGCTGTTAAATACATCTTTAAATATATCTACAAAGGACATGATAAGATACATTTCCAAGTTAACAATGATAGTGAACCAACAGCTAATAACCAACAAACTCAGATTGATGAAATCACAGAATACCAATCTGCTAGATGGGTATGTCCATTTGAAGCTATATGGCGTATTTATAGATTCTCATTATCTGAAATGTATCCTGCAGTTATTCATCTTCAGCTACACCTTGAGAACTTTCAATGCATGACTTTTAATGAAAATGAAGACTTACGAGATCTTTTGCAAAATTCTTTCAGGAAAAGAACGATGCTAACGAAATTTTTCCATATGAATGCTACTGATCCATTAGCTAAACATCTCAAATGTACATACAAAGAATTTCCAGAGTATTTTGTATGGTATCCTGGAAAAAAGTATTGGGCAGTTAGACAACAAAAAGATAGTATTGGTAGAATAGTTAGTGCCAGTCCAACAGAGGGTGAACGTTACTTTCTTAGACTGTTTCTCACTCATGTCAAAGCACCAACATCTTTTGATGACTTAAAGACAATAAATGGAGTTCATGTTGGTACATATCGATAGTCAGCTATCTTGAGAGGTTATTTTGAATCAAATGATTCGCAAGAACAATGTATGGAAGAAGCTGCTTCATATCATATGCCACACAGTCTACGCAGATTATTCGCAACTTTATTGGTTTATTTTCCACCAGCAAATCCTCTAATTTTATGGAGTAAATTTGAACAGGCAATGTCTGAAGACTACAATAGAATGTCTACTTTACCTGCTGAACAGGTTAGACTAAAGGTACTACACCAGATCAGCAACTTTTTGGATTCAATGGGAAAAGACATCAACAGCTTTTGCTTAGTGTCTACAACATTAAGGTTCTGAGATAGATACACAATACAAGAGATACCTCCAGTGAGCTAAATATTCAGGTATCAGAAATAGATTTATCAGCCACTACACAGCTCAATACAGAACAAAAAGCTGCTTTTGATCACATAATGGATGCTATATTTATTAAACAAAAAGGATGCTTTTTTATTGATGGACCTGGAGGCACAGGAAAAACATTTCTATACAAAGCTTTGCTAGCTACCATAAGATCAAGAGGTTATGTAGCCCTTGCAATTGCATCATGTGGAGTTGCAGCATCTATCTTACCCGGAGGACGAACAGCGCACTCGCGCTTCAAAATCCCTATAGACATAAATCCAGCTAATATGTGTAAAGTTAGCAAACAAAGTGCTTCGGCAAATTTACTTCGCCAAGCAAAATTAATTCTTTGGGATGAAGCACCAATGACTCATCGACATGGAATCGAAGGAGTTGACAAACTTCTAAAAGACCTGATGAATTCTACAGAACTATTTGGAGGAAAAGTTATCGTGTTTGAGGGCGATTTCAGACAAGTCTTACCCGTAGTCACAAAAGGAATCAAAACAGATTTCATCGAAGCAAGTATCATTAGTTCCTATATTTGGCCACAACTCACAAAACTACATCTCAGCCAAAATATGAGAGCCATAAGTGATCCAGAGTTTACTACTTATCTCCTTCGAATTGGAAATGGAACAGAGCCACTGATTGATGATATCAACATTTGTGTGCCACACAATCTCCTCATTCCCTACACTAACGAAGATGAGTCTATCAACATACTCATAAACTCTGTTTTTCCAGATCTTACAGCTTTTAGTAATCAAAATTTTTCTTTGGTAAACCGAGCAATACTTACAACGAAAAACGAATTTGTTGATGAACTAAATAGCATTCTTATAAAAAAAACTTTCCTGGAGAAGCACATGAATATGTAAGCCGCGATAAATCCATTATAGAATCAGAATAGGCAGTCTTAAAAGATTTCCTTAACAGTTTAACTCCAAATGGTTTCCCACCTCATAAAATTATCCTAAAACCAAATACACCAATAATTCTACTAAGAAATATTGATCCTCCGGAAGGTCTCTGCAATGGTACCAGGCTTATATGTAAATCTTTAACACAAAATGTTATACATGCTATTATTAGTTGTGGTGAATTTATTGGTAAAGATGTGTTTCTTCACAGAATTTGTTTTCGAATAGATAATGATGCTGATTGCCCTGTTCCTTTTGAAAGAATTCAATTTCCTATTCGTTTATGCTTCGCAATGACCATTAACAAAGCTCAGGGTCAGACTTTAGATTATGTTGGATTATACTTACACGAGCCAGTCTTTTCTCATGGACAATTTTATGTAGCACTGTCTAGAGCTAAAAATAGTACATCTATTAAGATACTAATTAGATCTCCCACCTGTAACACTGAATCATACAATGCCACACACAATGCCACACAAAATATAGTATATAGAGATGTTTTAGACATAGCAAATACCTTATGACCCGTATATTACTTGTCTTGTGTTTCTTTACCAGGAACTAAACATAGCTCCATATAATCGATTTTCTATTGTATAGTAATCTATAGCTTCAACTCTTTACATCTTCCGTTTGCAGTTTCTCTGTTAACAGACAAGCATCATTGAAAGAATTCCTGTTTCACTCATGGAAAGGAAAATCAGCAAGGTCAATGAAATTGTGCCTAATACGCAGCACTGGACAGCTATAGTTCAAGTGTTTGACAATCAAAAAGTCCAGATATCAAAGGCTGGAAACAAATACAAAAAATTGGTTCTGGTTGATGACGAGGTACTACTGGCTACTGTTTTATAACAAAATAGAAACAACTCCTTCTAACTGATTTTTTCCATTGCCATGCAAAACATACTTGCTCTCAGGGAAACAAAGTGGATGCTATCATGTGCAAATCTGATATAGAATTCTTCAAAGATCATTTCCAGCTTTACAAAAGTTACATGATATCAAATGCACGAGTGGAGCGAACACAATTAGAATTTCGAACTCATGAGAATCAATGTAACTGGATAATCGACAACTCCACTGTTGTTGAGGCTATACGAGAAGCAAATCCTCCGCAGCTTCCTCTGACAATCAACTTCACTCCTTTCAAGAAATTCCATCAATATATAGATGATAACACAGAAATAGGTACACCACTTTAACTAAAAAATATGATTCTATATTCAATTTATTATAGCAATCTATAACTCCTTTACAATTAGATGTCCTAGGTGTTGTCAGTGAAGTTCATCTTCGTACCTACAAAGGAACAACACCAAAGAGAGAGATCGTACTCATCGATCAAAGGTAACAATTATATCTATCAAATCTGAAATTATATATCCATTTTGGAACATTCCTTATTCCTGCCAAATGAATAAACAGTTTCATGCCGGTAATTTTGACACTCTGGGGAGACCATGAAACTGATGAAGGCCAGGCTTTGACAAATATGGTCCAAAATATGCCTTTCATTGCTGCTTTACGACTCAAAGTAACTTCTTATCATAGTAAGTACCTATCTACATTCTAATCAAACTACCATATACAAATTACATTCTTTTTATAATCTTATACATTTGTTTATCTTTATACATCATATTTTATTATCGAATAACGCTATATGCACTGCAGCAATGAACCTGTCTACAAAATTTGGATCTAGCATTCTTATAAATCCACCGATCCAGCAAGCTTCTGAAATCAGAACATGGTAAACAATACTCTCATACTATAAAACTCTTCCCAACTATTCACTGCTTATTTACTTTACATTAACAGCTTTTACTTTAACAAAAACACACCATGCAGGGCAACAAAAAATGAATACCAAATTCGACATCTAATGGCTGATAAAGCGTACAACGATCGAGCAAGATTGCTACCATTACCAGATGCAGAAGAAATGCCTACAATAAGAGACTACCTTCAGTTCCCTCTGGTAAATTTCACTTAGAGAACTTCTTCCCATAAACCGCACAAACCAATTGTTCTGTACACAAAAAAAATGAACAACCATATACATGTATGTCACAGCAAAAAGCTTATTGGGTACAAGGAACTCCTAAATTGCTTGACAGAAGTCAAAAATTCTAGTATAATGCTTGCCCTAGATGCTTCAAATCTGTACGTTCTATTCCACAGTGGCCAATTGTCTGTGTATCTTGCAACACGAACGTCCAAGTCACTCCAAGGTATGATACAAAACTCCACTCTAAAAAACGTTTACAAATTGCTATATACTGCAAAAATTTATTCCTCAACACTCTTCGCTTCAAAATAGATGTCGATTAACTGTGCAATTGGAAGATTACACCGGAAACATGACTTTGGATCTCTATGGAAACGATGCTTCCCAATTGCTTCCTTTTACAATACAAGAGATTCAGCAACAAGAGCAGCAGGTAACCATACATTAACTGAATACATTCTAGCTTGCTATTATTACACAAACACCTACATATAACGTAAGCTCATAATAACATATGACTATGTTTTCCTTGTAGAACGCACTTAATTATCAAGCCATAGAAGAGAATGTAAGCAGCAATATAATAATTTGCTTCGTCAAGAAGATTGCTGCAAACTATGCCACTCCTTCAAATTATGCTCCACTAACCAATACCAAATACTCAGCCATTATGGTACACAAACTTCCCAACATGACCAGCACTTCAGAGAGCAGCTCCAGCGGCCTTAGTGGAGAAAAAAACACAACAAGAATGCTCATAGACTCTCCACCACACCCAGAAACAACCGAAGTTGCACATACACCAGAATCTTCAACAAATATAGACAGCAATCTCCTGACCGCACTCAAACTGACAGAGAGCCCCAAAAAAAAACAACAAACCGACAACTACAACAATTAGGCTTGCAACCCCTTAACATTTTTGAAAGTGCACAGAGCTCTAAGAAGCTTCAGCTGTAAATATGTCTAAATATGCCTGCATGATCCTGTAAATTGGATATAGACAATGATCCACATAAATCTATCGTCTTCAAAAGACCTAAAAAATTATCTATATCACAGACGCAGTCCATCAATCTTTTGCAAAATATGCATTTCACTTAACTCCTCAACGGAATAATATAAAAAAAAAAAAAATCCCATGACGCCCGCGCATCGCACGGGGACCGTACCTAGTACGCATTTTATAAGTTTGTGTGTTTCTCCAAACTTCAATGTGTAGCTTAAGAAGTCAAATATAAAAATATTTAAAATGATGAGGTACGTTAGCTAATGCCGCTGCGCTGGATACCTTTATGGTAGGAAGCCTTTGACCCTTCCTATCGTATGCAGCTACTCAACACATGACACATGTATTTGTATAATGAGGAACTCACGGACCATTATGTTGCAATGGTTTCACGCGTGGAGATAAACCAAACAAGACATGTCTGGATGCAGCCTTGTTTCCCTTCCAATTCCTCCATTCACTGTGCATTGTTTCTCCACTGCTTTATTACATTTAAAAAATTGTGAAACTATATAATTTTCTGCACCTAATATACCAAACAATTTAATAAAATTAATAACAACATACCAACAATATATACCCATGACATAAATATACTAAGCAATTATAAAAATTATTAGGATTATATAGTTACTTTAGAAGTTGCTCCCAAACACTGTGCAACTAAATTTTTCATTCAAACTAACGATGG